CCAACCACCACTGGGGGCCCACAACCACCCACCAACCACCACTGGGGGCCCACAACCACCCACCAACCACCACTGGGGGCCCACAACCACCCACCAACCACCACTGGGGGCCCACAACCACCCACCAACCACCACTGGGGGCCCACAACCACCCACCAACCACCACTGGGGGCCCACAACCACCCACCAACCACCACTGGGGGCCCACAACCACCCACCAACCACCACTGGGGGCCCACAACCACCCACCAACCACCACTGGGGGCCCACAACCACCCACCAACCACCACTGGGGGCCCACAACCACCCACCACACCACTGGGGGGGCCCACAACCACCCACCAACCACCACTGGGGGCCCACAACCACCCACCAACCACCACTGGGGGCCCACAACCACCCACCAACCACCACTGGGGGCCCACAACCACCCACCAACCACCACTGGGGGCCCACAACCACCCACCATCCACCACTGGGGGCCCACAACCACCCACCATCCACCACTGGGGGCCCACAACCACCCACCATCCACCACTGGGGGCCCACAACCACCCACCAACCACCACTGGGGGCCCACAACCACCCACCAACCACCACTGGGGGCCCACAACCACCCACAACCACCACTGGGGGCCCACAACCACCCACCAACCACCACTGGGGGCCCACAACCACCCACCAACCACCACTGGGGGCCCACAACCACCCACCAACCACCACTGGGGGCCCACAACCACCCACCAACCACCACTGGGGGCCCACAACCACCCACCAACCACCACTGGGGGCCCACAACCACCCACCAACCACCACTGGGGGCCCACAACCACCCACCAACCACCACTGGGGGCCCACAACCCACCCACCAACCACCACTGGGGGCCCACAACCACCCACCAACCACCACTGGGGGCCCACAACCACCCACCAACCACCACTGGGGGCCCACAACCACCCACCAACCACCACTGGGGGCCCACAACCACCCACCCACCACTGGGGCCCACAACCACCCACCAACCACCACTGGGGGCCCACAACCACCCACCAACCACCACTGGGGGCCCACAACCACCCACCAACCACCACTGGGGGCCCACAACCACCCACCAACCACCACTGGGGGCCCACAACCACCCACCAACCACCACTGGGGGCCCACAACCACCCACCAACCACCACTGGGGGCCCACAACCACCCACCAACCACCACTGGGGGCCCACAACCACCCACCAACCACCACTGGGGGCCCACAACCACCCACCAACCACCACTGGGGGCCCACAACCACCCACCAACCACCACTGGGGGCCCACAACCACCCACCAACCAGCACTTCTGAGTAATCAGCGCAAAAGCTTTAAACTTTCGTGTTATTTTTATCGATGAAGATAAATCCCGAGACGAGAGTCATTAGTTATGTTAAAATCTTCTGAAAGCGTCATTTGGACCACTAAGATATGAATAGAAGTTTGTGAAATGTTGCTTCATATCTTTACTTCATAGCTTGCTTCATATCTTTGCTTCATAGCTTGCTTCATATCTTTACTTCATAGCTTGCTTCATATCTTGACTTCATAGCTTGCTTCATATCTTTGCTTCATAGCTTGCTTCATATCTTTACTTCATAGCTTGCTTCATATCTTCATAGCTTGCTTCATATCTTTACTTCATAGCTTGCTTCATATCTTTGCTTCATAGCTTGCTTCATATCTGTGCTTCCAAATCTTGTTTCATATCTTTGGTTCCAAATCTTGCTTCATATCTTTGCTTCCAAATCTTGCTTCATATCTTTGCTTCAGAATCTTGCTTCATATCTGTGCTTCAGAATCTAAGTTTTTTGAGTCCGGCCGAACTGTTCGGGAAGCTGTTAAGAGGGAGCAGCATTTCTGCAGATAAAGAAAGTTATTATATTCCAAAGATAATGGTAGATATATTCCAAAGATAATGGTGGATATATTGTGAAGAGGTTAAGAGGGTGATCTCCGTGTTGAAGGAAGGAGAAGGTGTTGATGTTAGCACACAGATGAAGTGGTCTCGCCCCTCCCCATACATCACCTCAGGGCCCCCCCCCCCATACATCACCTCAGGGGCCCCCCCCCATACATCACCTCAGGGGCCCCCCCCATACATCACCTCAGGGGCCCCCCCCCATACATCACCTCAGGGCCCCCCCCCCATACATCACCTCAGGGGCCCCCCCATACATCACCTCAGGGGTCAGCACTGGAGTCATTCCTGGTAATGGTTCTGTTGTTGACACGTCTGGTCCAGTTTGCTCCCCCCGGCAGTATACACTTGTTATACTCTGGTGTATTAGTCCTTGGAGTCTGTTAGTCACTGTGTTTAGTTAGTGTTGCTGGAGCCAGTTATCTTGCTTCATCTCTCTCTCTCTCTCTCTCTCTCTCTCTCTCTCTCTCTCTCTCTCTCTCTCTCTCTCTCTCTCTCTCTCTCTCTCTCTCTCTCTCTCTCTCTCTCTCTCTCTCTCTCTCTCTCTCTCTCTCTCTCTCTCTCTCTCTCCTCTCTCCCCCTCTCTCTACCCCTCTCCCTCTCCTCTCTCTTCCCCTCTCCCTCACTCTCCCTCTCCTCTCTCTTCCCCCCTCTCCCTCACTCTCCTCACTCTCCCTCACACTAGCCATCCCGTGTGCGACTCACGTCTCAAACTAAAAATTTATAGAAATATTCGTAACAAAATCTTCACAGGGACGGGACGGTGGGGGGTAGAGGAGGGGGGTTGGGGGGTAGAGGAGGGGGCTTGGGGGGTAGAGGAGGGGGGTTGGGGGGTAGAGGAGGGGGCTTGGGGGGTAGAGGAGGGGGCTTGGGGGGTAGAGGAGGGGGCTTGGGGGGTAGAGGAGGGGGGTTGGGGGGTAGAGGAGGGGGCTTGGGGGGTAGAGGAGGGGGGTTGGGGGGTAGAGGAGGGGGGTTGGGGGGTAGAGGAGGGGGCTTGGGGGGTAGAGGAGGGGGCTTGGGGGTTAGAGGAGGGGGCTTGGGGGGTAGAGGAGGGGGGGTTGGGGGGTAGAGGAGGGGGGTGGGGGGTAGAGGAGGGGGGTTGGGGGGTAGAGGAGGGGGCTTGGGGGGTAGAGGAGGGGGGTTGGGGGGTAGAGGAGGGGGCTTGGGGGTTAGAGGAGGGGGCTTGGGGGTTAGAGGAGGGGGGGGTTGGGGGGTAGAGGAGGGGGTTGGGGGTTAGAGGAGGGGGGTTGGGGGTTAGAGGAGGGGGGTTGGGGGGTAGAGGAGGGGGCTTGGGGGGTAGAGGAGGGGGGGTTGGGGGGTAGAGGAGGGGGGTTGGGGGGTAGAGGAGGGGGGTTGGGGGGTAGAGGAGGGGGGTTGGGGGGTAGAGGAGGGGGGGTTGGGGGGTAGAGGAGGGGGGTTGGGGGGTAGAGGAGGGGGGGTTGGGGGGTAGAGGAGGGGGGGTTGGGGGGTAGAGGAGGGGGGGTGGGGGGTAGAGGAGGGGGGGTTGGGGGTAGAGGAGGGGGGGTTGGGGGGTAGAGGAGGGGGGGTTGGGGGGTAGAGGAGGGGGGGTTGGGGGGTAGAGGAGGGGGCTTGGGGGGTAGAGGAGGGGGCTTGGGGGTAGAGGAGGGGGCTTGGGGGGTAGAGGAGGGGGCTTGGGGGGTAGGAGGAGGGGGCTTGGGGGGTAGAGGAGGGGGTTTGGGGGGTAGAGGAGGGGGCTTGGGGGGTAGAGGAGGGGGCTTGGGGGGTAGAGGAGGGGGTGTAGGATTGAGGTTGTAGGGGGGGTGGGGTAGAGGTGGGGGGTTGCAGGAGTCTAAGGCATGCGTTGTGAGAGCCTTTAAAGCTGACACAACACAAGCCATCGACGGCATTTCGACGCTTCTGGTTAGACTAAACCACTTCATTTTTTACGTAGTGGGAGATGCTGGTAATGGGTGGCCCTGCCCTCTCGCTGAAGACACTCCATCACGCAGCGGACACTTGCGTACATGTGGCGGTGGTTCACGACGAGGTTCAACCACCTCATTAGCGACGTTTCCTGGGAGTACTGAGTAAGGGCTCCGGTAGGTTAGTTTTATGACGCTTTTAGTTAAGTTAAACCGTTGTGTTTTTTACGGAGGGGGAAATGAGAGACCGGGCCCCTAGGACTCGAGCCCAGGGGCCCCCCAGGACTGACCCCAGGGTCCCCCAGGACTGACCCCAGGGCCCCCCCAGGACTGACCCCAGGGCCCCCCCAGGACTGACCCCAGGGCCCCCCAGGACTGACCCCAGGGCCCCCCAGGACTGACCTCAGGGCCCCCCCAGGACTGACCCCAGGGCCCCCAGGACTGACCCCAGGGCCCCCCCCAGGACTGACCCCAGGGTCCCCAGGACTGACCCCAGGGCCCCCAGGACTGACCCCAGGGCCGCCAGGACTGACCTCAGGGCCATCAGGACTGACCCCAGGGCCCCCCAGGACTGACCCCAGGGCCCCCCAGGACTGACCCCAGGGCCCCCAGGACTGACCCCAGGGCCCCCCAGGACTGACCCCAGGGCCCCCCCAGGACTGACCCCAGGGCCCCCCCCAGGACTGACCCCTGGGGCCCCCCAGGACTGACCCCAGGGCCCCCAGGACTGACCCCAGGGCCCCCAGGACTGACCCCAGGGCCCCCTGGACTGACCCCAGGGCCCCCAGGACTGACCCCAGGGCCCCCAGGACTGACCCCAGGGCCCCCAGGACTGACCCCAGGGGGCCCCCAGGACTGACCCCAGGGGGCCCCCAGGACTGACCCCAGGGGCCCCCAGGACTGACCCCAGGACTGACCCCAGGGGCCCCCAGGACTGACCCCAGGGCCCCCAGGACTGACCCCAGGGCCCCCAGGACTGACCCCAGGGCCCCCAGGACTGACCCCCAGGACTGACCCCAGGGGGCCCCCAGGACTGACCCCAGAAGCCTCCAGGACTGACCCCAGGGGCCCCCAGGACTGACCCCAGGGGCCCCCAGGACTGACCCCAGGGGCCCCCAGGACTGACCCCAGGGGCCCCCAGGACTGACCCCAGGGGCCCTCAGAACGTGGGAGTGGGGAGCCTGGTCTTCCTGACCACCGTGGGAGTGGGGAGCCTGGTCTTCCTGGCCACCGTGGGAGTGGGGAGCCTGGTCTTCCTGGCCACCGTGGGAGTGGGGAGCCTGGCCACCGTGGGAGTTGGGAGCCTGGCCACCGTGGGAGTGGGGAGCCTGGCCACCGTGGGAGTGGGGAGCCTGGCCACCGTGGGAGTGGGGAGCCTGACCACCGTGGGAGTGGGGAGCCTGACCACCGTGGGAGTGGGGAGCCTGACCACCGTGGGAGTGGGGAGCCTGACCACCGTGGGAGTGGGGAGCCTGACCACCGTGGGAGTGGAGAGCCTGACCACCGTGGGAGTGGGGAGCCTGGTCTTCCTGACCACCGTGGGAGTGGGGAGCCTGACCACCGTGGGAGTGGGGAGCCTGGCCACCGTGGGAGTGGGGAGCCTGGCCACCGTGGGAGTGGGGAGCCTGGCCACCGTGGGAGTGGGGAGCCTGGCCACCGTGGGAGTGGGGAGCCTGGCCACCGTGGGAGTGGGGAGCCTGGCCACCGTGGGAGTGGGGAGCCTGGCCACCGTGGGAGTGGGGAGCCTGGCCACCGTGGGAGTGGGGAGCCTGGCCACCGTGGGAGTGGGGAGCCTGGCCACCGTGGGAGTGGGGAGCCTGGCCACCGTGGGAGTGGGGAGCCTGGCCACCGTGGGAGTGGGGAGCCTGGCCACCGTGGGAGTGGGGAGCCTGGCCACCGTGGGAGTGGGGAGCCTGGCCACCGTGGGAGTGGGGAGCCTGGCCACCGTGGGAGTGGGGAGCCTGGCCACCGTGGGAGTGGGGAGCCTGGCCACCGTGGGAGTGGGGAGCCTGGCCACCGTGGGAGTGGGGAGCCTGGCCACCGTGGGAGTGGGGAGCCTGGCCACCGTGGGAGTGGGGAGCCTGGCCACCGTGGGAGTGGGGAGCCTGGCCACCGTGGGAGTGGGGAGCCTGGCCACCGTGGGAGTGGGGAGCCTGGCCACCGTGGGAGTGGGGAGCCTGGCCACCGTGGGAGTGGGGAGCCTGGCCACCGTGGGAGTGGGGAGCCTGGCCACCGTGGGAGTGGGGAGCCTGGCCACCGTGGGAGTGGGGAGCCTGGCCACCGTGGGAGTGGGGAGCCTGGCCACCGTGGGAGTGGGGAGCCTGGCCACCGTGGGAGTGGGGAGCCTGGCCACCGTGGGAGTGGGGAGCCTGGCCACCGTGGGAGTGGGGAGCCTGGCCACCGTGGGAGTGGGGAGCCTGGCCACCGTGGGAGTGGGGAGCCTGGCCACCGTGGGAGTGGGGAGCCTGGCCACCGTGGGAGTGGGGAGCCTGGCCACCGTGGCCACCGTGGGAGTGGGGAGCCTGGCCACCGTGGGAGTGGGGAGCCTGGCCACCGTGGGAGTGGGGAGCCTGGCCACCGTGGGAGTGGGGAGCCTGGCCACCGTGGGAGTGGGGAGCCTGCAGGCCACCGTGGGAGTGGGGAGCCAATTTATTATACGGCTGTGAATATATTATTTAAAATTCTTTTATCTGACTTACCCCCCCCCCCCCCCCCGCCCCGCTATTGGAGAGTGCGCGCGCGCGCGTGTGCCCGCCGAGGGCCGCAAAGCTCTTCTATTGTCTCCAAAATGCGGGAGTTTGGCGGGAAAAATTGCGGCCGTGGCTCATTGCGGCCGCAATTGTGTTGGGTCATCATCCCTCCATTACGGGAGGAAACTGTGTGACATATGTCCCATGTTTAGGCATGCCTGCTTGAGCCTGCCTGAGCCTGCTTGAGCCTGCTTGACCTGCTTGAGCCTGCTTGACCTGCTTGAGCCTGCTTGAGCCTGCTTGAGCCTGCTTGAGCCTGCTTGAGCCTGCTTGACCTGCTTGAGCCTGCTTGAGCCTGCTTGTCTTGCTTGAACTGCTTGAGCCTGCTTGAGCCTGCTTGACCTGCTTGAGCCTGCTTGACCTGCTTGAGCCTGCTTGAGCCTGCTTGTCTTGCTTGACCTGCTTGAGCCTGCTTGACCTGCTTGAGCCTGCTTGACCTGCTTGAGCCTGCTTGAGCCTGCTTGAGCCTGCTTGAGCCTGCTTGACCTGCTTGAGCCTGCTTGACCTGCTTGAGCCTGCTTGTCTTGCTTGACCTGCTTGAGCCTGCTTGACCTGCTTGAGCCTGCTTGACCTGCTTGAGCCTGCTTGAGCCTGCTTGACCTGCTTGAGCCTGCTTGACCTGCTTGAGCCTGCTTGACCTGCTTGAGCCTGCTTGAGCCTGCTTGAGCCTGCTTGAGCCTGCTTGAGCCTGCTTGACCTGCTTGAGCCTGCTTGACCTGCTTGAGCCTGCTTGACCTGCTTGAGCCTGCTTGACCTGCTTGAGCCTGCTTGACCTGCTTGAGCCTGCTTGAGCCTGCTTGAGCCTGCTTGACCTGCTTGAGCCTGCTTGACCTGCTTGAGCCTGCTTGTCTTGCTTGAGCCTGCTTGACCTGCTTGAGCCTGCTTGTCTTGCTTGAGCCTGCTTGACTTGCTTGAGCCTGCTTGTCTTGCTTGAGCCTGCTTGAGCCTGCTTGAGCCTGCTTGACCTGCTTGAGCCTGCTTGTCTTGCTTGAGCCTGCTTGACCTGCTTGAGCCTGCTTGTCTTGCTTGAGCCTGCTTGACCTGCTTGAGCCTGCTTGACCTGCTTGAGCCTGCTTGACCTGCTTGAGCCTGCTTGACCTGCTTGAGCCTGCTTGTCTTGCTTGAGCCTGCTTGTCTTGCTTGAGCCTGCTTGACCTGCTTGAGCCTGCTTGTCTTGCTTGAACCTGCTTGACCTGCTTGAGCCTGCTTGACCTGCTTGACCTGCTTGAGCCTGCTTGTCTTGCTTGAGCCTGCTTGACCTGCTTGAGCCTGCTTGTCTTGCTTGAGCCTGCTTGTCTTGCTTGAGCCTGCTTGTCTTGCTTGAGCCTGCTTGTCTTGCTTGAGCCTGCTTGTCTTGCTTGAGCCTTCTTGACCTGCTTGAGCCTGCTTGACCTGCTTGAGCCTGCTTGACCTGCTTGAGCCTGCTTGACCTGCTTGAGCCTGCTTGTCTTGCTTGAGCCTGCTTGTCTTGCTTGAGCCTGCTTGTCTTGCTTGAGCCTGCTTGACCTGCTTGAGCCTGCTTGTCTTGCTTGAGCCTGCTTGTCTTGCTTGAGCCTGCTTGTCTTGCTTGAGCCTGCTTGTCTTGCTTGAGCCTGCTTGTCTTGCTTGAGCCTTCTTGACCTGCTTGAGCCTGCTTGACCTGCTTGAGCCTGCTTGACCTGCTTGAGCCTTCTTGACCTGCTTGAGCCTGCTTGTCTTGCTTGAGCCTGCTTGTCTTGCTTGAGCCTGCTTGTCTTGCTTGAGCCTGCTTGTCTTGCTTGAGCCTGCTTGTCTTGCTTGAGCCTGCTTGTCTTGCTTGAGCCTGCTTGTCTTGCTTGAGCCTGCTTGTCTTGCTTGAGCCTGCTTGACCTGCTTGAGCCTGCTTGACCTGCTTAAGCCTGCTTGAGCCTGCTTGCCTTGCTTGTCTTGCTTGAGCCTGCTTGTCTTGCTTGAGCCTGCTTGTCTTACTTGAGCCTGCTTGTCTTGCTTGAGCCTGCTTGTCTTGCTTGAGCCTGCTTGTCTTGCTTGAGCCTGCTTGTCTTGCTTGAGCCTGCTTGTCTTGCTTGAGCCTGCTTGTCTTGCTTGAGCCTGCTTGTCTTGCTTGAGCCTGCTTCTCTTGCTTGAGCCTGCTTCTCTTGCTTGAGCCTGCTTCTCTTGCTTGAGCCTGCTTGCCTTGCTCGAGCCTGCTTGTCTTGCTCGAGCCTGCTTGTCTTGCTTGAGCCTGCTTGTCTTGCTTGAGCCTGCTTGCCTTGCTTGAGCCTGCTTGTCTTGCTTGAGCCTGCTTGCCTTGCTTGAGCCTGCTTGTCTTGCTTGAGCCTGCTTGCCTTGCTCGATCCTGCTTGTCTTGCTTGTCTTGCTTGTCTTGCTTGAGCCTGCTTGACCTGCTTGAGCCTGCTTGTCTTGCTTGAGCCTGCTTGTCTTGCTTGAGCCTGCTTGTCTTGCTCGAGCCTGCTTGTCTTGCTCGAGCCTGCTTGCCTTGTTCGAGCCTGCTTGTCTTGCTTGTCTTGCTTGTCTTGCTTGAGCCTGCTTGACCTGCTTGAGCCTGCTTGTCTTGCTTGAGCCTGCTTGTCTTGCTTGAGCCTGCTTGTCTTTCTTGAGCCTGCTTGTCTTGCTCGAGCCTGCTTGCCTTGTTCGAGCCTGCTTGTCTTGCTCGAGCCTGCTTGCCTTGCTCGAGCCTGCTTGCCTTGCTCGAGCCTGCTTGCCTTGCTCGAGCCTGCTTGCCTTGCTCGAGCCTGCTTGTCTTGCTTGAGCCTGCTTGTCTTGCTTGAGCCTGCTTGTCTTGCTTGAGCCTGCTTGTCTTGCTTGAGCCTGCTTGACCTGCTTGAGCCTGCTTGTCTTGCTTGAGCCTGCTTGTCTTGCTTGAGCCTGCTTGTCTTGCTCGAGCCTGCTTGCCTTGCTCGAGCCTGCTTGTCTTGCTTGAGCCTGCTTGTCTTGCTTGAGCCTGCTTGTCTTGCTCGAGCCTGCTTGCCTTGCTCGAGCCTGCTTGCCTTGCTCGAGCCTGCTTGTCTTGCTCGAGCCTGCTTGCCTTGCTCGATCCTGCTTGTCTTGCTTGTCTTGCTTGTCTTGCTTGAGCCTGCTTGACCTGCTTGAGCCTGCTTGTCTTGCTTGAGCCTGCTTGTCTTGCTTGAGCCTGCTTGTCTTGCTTGAGCCTGCTTGTCTTGCTTGAGCCTGCTTGTCTTGCTTGAGCCTGCTTGACCTGCTTGAGCCTGCTTGACCTGCTTGAGCCTGCTTGACCTGCTTAAGCCTGCTTGAGCCTGCTTGCCTTGCTTGTCTTGCTTGAGCCTGCTTGTCTTGCTTGAGCCTGCTTGTCTTACTTGAGCCTGCTTGTCTTGCTTGAGCCTGCTTGTCTTGCTTGAGCCTGCTTGTCTTGCTTGAGCCTGCTTGTCTTGCTTGAGCCTGCTTGTCTTGCTTGAGCCTGCTTGTCTTGCTTGAGCCTGCTTGCCTTGCTTGAGCCTGCTTGCCTTGCTTGAGCCTGCTTGCCTTGCTCGAGCCTGCTTGTCTTGCTTGAGCCTGCTTGCCTTGCTTGAGCCTGCTTGTCTTGCTTGAGCCTGCTTGTCTTGCTTGAGCCTGCTTGTCTTGCTTGAGCCTGCTTGTCTTGCTTGAGCCTGCTTGTCTTGCTTGAGCCTGCTTGCCTTGCTTGAGCCTGCTTGCCTTGCTCGAGCCTGCTTGTCTTGCTTGAGCCTGCTTGCCTTGCTTGAGCCTGCTTGCCTTGCTCGAGCCTGCTTGTCTTGCTTGAGCCTGCTTGTCTTGCTTGAGCCTGCTTGTCTTGCTCGAGCCTGCTTGTCTTGCTTGAGCCTGCTTGCCTTGCTCGAGCCTGCTTGTCTTGCTTGAGCCTGCTTGCCTTGCTCGAGCCTGCTTGTCTTGCTCGAGCCTGCTTGTCTTGCTTGAGCCTGCTTGCCTTGCTTGAGCCTGCTTCTCTTGCTTGAGCCTGCCGGCCTGCTTAAGACTGCTTGTCTTGCTTGAGCCTGCCGGCCTGCTTAAGACTGCTTGTCTTGCTTGATGAGCCTGCTTCTCTTGCTTGAGCCTGCTTCTCTTGCTTGAGCCTGCCGGCCTGCTTAAGACTGCTTGCCTTGCTTGAGCCTGCCTGCCTGCCAGGAATGGTGCCCAACCACTTGGGCACCATTCCTCCCCCCCCCTCCGTCCCATCCCAAATCCTTATCCTGATCCCTTCCCTGTGCTATATTGTCGTAATGGCTTGGCGCTTTCCTCTGATAATGCACTCTTTCTGAAGCCATAGTCCAGAATTCGTCAGTCATTTACGCAGTCGCTTACGAAACCTGTACATCTTTCCTCGGTCATGGCGGCTTTTACATTTACTGAGCAGTGTGTAAGTTAGGAACCTTCACCACCTCTGGGACCCGAGGGCCCCCGTGACCCGTCCTGGGACCCGAGGGCCCCCGTGACCCGTCCTGGGACCCGAGGGCCCCCCGTGACCCGTCCTGGGACCCGAGGGCCCCCCGTGATCCGTCCTGGGACCCGAGGGCCCCCCGTGACCCGTCCTGTTACCCGAGGGCCCCCCGTGATCCGTCCTGGGACCCGAGGGGCCCCCGTGACCCATCCTGGGACCCGAGGGCCCCCGTGACCCGTCCTGGGACCCGAGGGCCCCCCGTGACCCGTCCTGGGACCCGAGGGCCCCCCGTGACCCGTTCTGGGACCCGAGGGCCCCCCGTGACCCGTTCTGGGACCCGAGGGCCCCCCGTGACCCGTTCTGGGACCCGAGGGCCCCCCGTGACCCGTTCTGGGACCCGAGGGCCCCCCCCCGTGTCCCGTCCTGGGACCCGAGGGCCCCCCCCCGTGTCCCGTCCTGGGACCCGAGGGCCCCCCCCGTGTCCCGTCCTGGGACCCGAGGGCCCCCCCCGTGTCCCGTCCTGGGACCCGAGGGCCCCCCCGTGTCCCGTCCTGGGACCCGAGGGCCCCCCGTGTCCCGTCCTGGGACC